TAAACCTCTCGGCAAGAGAGAGGAGACGGACTAAAAACGTTTTCGCTTCAGTTCAGATTATGAAATAAACAAAGAGCCTCGGGAGGTTGTCTTCTCGAAAATTAAGAAAAGGAGCAAGAAAACAACACGTTGGTTGCTTCAACTTCTCTTTCGTTTTCACTCAAATCCTTTGAGGCGCAGAGTGACAGATCCTGGAGTACAGGAAGCCATTTTATCCACCACCAGCTGCAATGGAGCAGCCGGGGGGTGGCCAATGGTGGCCTTGACCCCCTGTAGATTAACCTTGGGCCACCTCAATCTTTTGAAACTATACTTTTAAGCATTATAAAAACTAGAAAACATAGCTTCAAATGATTGCGGTGGCCGGATTTATATAAATCTGGTGGTGGCCATCTTGGATGTTGACGTGGGGAGTCAATTTTAGAAAGGGAAGTAGGTGCCTCGCTTCTTTTTCACGTTATCACAAGACAGGCAGATGGATGTATGGACGGACGTGTTTCCAACTCTCCTTCTTTGCTCACTAACGGGGGTCTTAAAGGGGGTGCAGGAGTGTTCAAAGTGTTCATGTGAATTACAGCAATGTAACATGCCAGGCAGTACAACTCTGGGGCGATCTTGTGTGTTCTTTGCAGCTGAAGTGGTAGAACAGTGTTTTTAAAGTGGGTTTCTGTGGAAAAGTTTTGAACAGTTAATATCTTACCTGTTGTAGATCGCTGTCTGAACCACCTCAGCTTGGAGAAATAGAATTTATGTCTGACCGGATTGTTAAAACTACCCTAGGCTACACCACAGCTAGCTGCTACTGCCAGTGCCATATCCATCCATCCATTATCTTTTACCTGCTTCTTCCTTTTCGGGTCGCGGGAGTCACAGGAGCCCATGTCCAGCAAAATCACTGTGCATTGTTTCCCCTAGATAACTTGCCATGGCGGGGCGCTCATTTCGTTCGTGATATTTTGGCTGGGGGGTTGGGGGGGGGGGGGGTTGATGGACGGAGACATGTCCTGAGCTGTACAGGATGGCAGGTCTCCACTTTGGTCTTAGACTAAACATCTTCTCTTGAATTCAGAATTCAGTCACAAATAAGTTGTTTCTCCAAACTGAGGCAATTCAAAGCACTACCTGCAACAGGTAAGATGTTAATTGTTCATACTTTTTTTTGACACAACTCCACTTTAAAAGGTCTGAGCCATCACTTTGAGACTAAAGTGGAAGTTTACGGCCCAAAGGGACAGAAGGACGATTGTTGAATGTTCTGATTAATGGGATTTGTTGACAACACGAGGACAGGAATGTCATCAGGTTTGATTTTAAGCCACTTATTAAAGGATTGTTTCTGTTCTGGGCCGGCTTGTGCATTGATCCCAGTCGGTCCTTGATCACAGTGGAGGACCACATGTCATGGCTGACACTCTGATGGCATGTTTAAACTGGAACACACATATTCAGAGCTAAATCAGGAGTAATCATTGCAGAGGAGGGAGGGCAGATAGAGCCCTGCAGACTTTGGTAAATATCTCAGATAAGCTGGTTCCTTGGAAAGGCCAGGGTCGGTCAGACACACACACACACACAAACACACACTCCTGCTATCTCTTGTGTTCTGCTGATTCCAGATCCATCCTAGAATCTGCTAAATGGGCAAAACAATGAGTGAAGTGAGCCGTGGAGCAGCGGAGGTAATCAGTGTTTTAGTTCAAGAGCCTGCGTGAGCGAAAAGGACGAGTCACCCGTGGAAGTCAATGAGTAGTGAGTCACAAGACCAGTTCTGAACTTTATTTATTGCAGAACGATACGACCTCTCGATCCGGCTCGGCCTGCACCGAGGCTTTCCTGGAAACTGTCCCATGTAGAAACCCATTCAGGAGACTCTTGGTATGTTAAACTGCTTCACTGGTTCTTACAACCTGACACACGTTAAGGAATGAGTCCCGCGCGTGGAGTTTATTCAGGGAGAATCTCAGCCAGGGACGTTCATCTTCATCATTCGCCTTGTTAAATACAAAGCAACAAAGAGAGACACGGTTATCAACGTGCGCTGCAGACGAACCAACACAACTTGACAAGAGAGAAGTGAAGACTGTGGCTGCGCTCTCAGGACACGTGACGTCCACGTGAGGTGGGACTCGGCTGTCACAGGAATCGTGATCCGCGATCGTTGAACTGTTAGTCTCTCTGTTAGCAGAATATCTCATGAAACACTGGGCGTGTTTTAATAAAACTTTTAGATATTAATCACTGGATGCGCATCTACAGCTGATAAACGTTTGGAGTCAACTCAATTCAAGATGGCTGCCACACCTAATCAATCTTACTAAACACAAAGATAACTATACTTGAGTCTGTTTTACAGAAATGATGCTCAAATTTGTTGCATTAGCAGCAGAGCATCTAGAACACGTACCTTGAGCACTAACAGATCCCTAAAGTCTTTGTTTTAAAACCTGGCATTCCTGTTAAGAGTGACCTCACCCGTCTGTTAGCAAAATATGCCAGAAGCCACTGGAAGGATTTTAATGAAACTCTCAGGAAGTATTCACTGGATGTACGTCTACTGTTCAGGTTTGGGGATTGATCTGATTCAAGATGGTTGTCGGAGCCAGCTTCTCTCCTTGTGATCCATGTACCTGTCGCCGTCATTCCTCTGGCTCACCCAAGCTCAAAGACCAGCAGCACAGAGGGGGAAGAAGGAAGGACTTTGGGGGGGGTGGGGGGAATTAGGGAAAATGAGAGCGTGTGCCAAGGGAATGGAGGAGTGAGGGAGGAAAAAAAAAAAGAAAAGGTGGAAACAACGAGGAGCAAACAGTGAAGCTGGCCTGAAGAATTTCAGGTCAGGCAGAGTGAGTAACTTCACCACTCAGGGATGCTTCCAGTTCATTTAATCTGAGTCCAGCCCCCACAACCTGCCTCCAGGACTCCTCTCAAAAATTCAAGAGCGGAGCGGCCATCAGCAGCTGAAGTTACATTCATCACCCAGCTCACAGTCGTCACTAATCGGAGGCGGCCTCCAGCTTTCGGGGCTCAGCCTCCGTGGACAAACATTCCTCGGGGTAATCAGCCGCCTGCTCAAGGCCAGAGCCGACAACGAGTCCTCCCCATGTTGACTGTGTGATAAAAGGCCTCAGTGACTCCATAAGTGTTCCTTCATACGACAAAGATCACAGAGAACCAGCTTTCTGCTACTTTTATTGGAGTTACTTTAAACTTTTAATGTAACTGTGAAAAATTAAGAAAATCAAAACGTTTAAAGACAAAGTTCTTTTTAAAATACTCACCCCGAAGCTCACGATGTCACCACCACGTTGAATACTGTTTGAACTTTAAAACTGTTTTTAAAAGGTTTCTACTTTTTAAAGTGAAAAGGTTATGAATATTGTATCTGTTATTAGATAACACTTAAACTTTGTTTCTAGAAACAATTCAACTCTGAGCAGACTGACGAGCTAACGGCTAGTCTGAGCAGCAAGTGTTAGTTTAAACAACACTAAAATGTTTATCGTCGTCTGTTTCACATTATTGTTGGTTCAGCAAAGTTCAGTCAGGTCCTCTGGACGGTTTCTTTGTGTTGAAACGTTTCGTCTTTCATCCAAAGGACTTCTTCAGTCCGAGGAGCCACAACAAACTGTCTTATAATGTGCACCTTCTCATAGTGGGTCAACCAGTTTGATGGTGATAAGATGGTGTCTGGACTCCGCCCTCTCCCCTGTCGACTTATCTGAGGCAGCCATGGCCAAAGAGGTTCAAAACATCAAAGTTCATGCTCAATAATCTCCTTAACTGTTGGATTTTTTTTTTACCTGGATTATTGAGCATGAACTTTGATTATTGGTGGTTATTAACACAGAAACAGCGGCAGCAGCTGGTAGCGGTAGCACTTCTGGTACAGCCTGGGGCACTGTTAGCATGAATATCATATAACCTCTGCTGGTGTAACCATATACAGCAAAACTAGCAGTGATTTAAAACTTTATAAATGAGCCGTTATGAAACCTTTGGGATCGGAGTTGTTTTAAAATGGCAGCAGATCCTGCGCGGACTGGCCAAACATTTCAAACGGATGTCATCCACAGAGCTATCTACAACAGGTAAGATGTTGATAGCTCATAACCTTTGTGCAGAACCCCACTTCAAAAGATCTGATCTGTCCTTCTGGGTGATGTGCATTCCTATACTGACTCAGAGTGCACTCCTGGTGTAGTTTAGTGCTATTTAAAACCACAAAAACCATGCCAATAGCTTAAAAAAAACATCTAAGCACCTTTTCAGCCTTTACAAATGAGCTAACCTCCGTACACACTCGGGTCCGCCCTGATGACAAACACAGCAAATCAAGTCGGACTCTAAAAACGGCTCTTTATCCTCTTTCTTTGTGACGTAGCTGCTAACCAAACTCTGAACGAGCCTGTTGTGCTGCACATTTCTGTCATTTTGGAATGGAATAAAACCAACTAGGTGAGGTCCAGATCACCTGCTCACACACACACACACACACACCAAACTGCTCACCTCACCGGGGCAAAAGTCCACATGTTACATGAACAAGAACCCGGATGTTTGCAGGTGATACCAGCTTCTCTGTGGAGTCACTGAAGCGTTTACTTCAACCCCGCACCCTGAGCCCACACGCAGCCCTGCAGAGTCACGCCACTCCACTGGTTCCACTGGTTTCACTCTGACGTCTCACTCCTCCATCTCTATTCTCATCGGTACTTTGAGAGGTTTTCTTGGCAACCGGGCCGACTCTGCTGAGGTGGTAGAACAGGCAAGTCCAGCTCACAACAAAGCAAAAAGGTGAATTCTCTCATCAGAGCAGAAGAAGTTCAAAAAAAGAGGCTCAACTGAATCTGACGACAGAGGGGTCAAGGGTCAAAGACAGGTGATGCAAGAAAGTGTTTCTCGTAAATAAATCTGATTTAAAACAAGAAAAAAATAACGGATTCGTTTTTTTTGTTGTGGCTGTTTTTAAGTGGAGACCCTCAAAAAGGCGCTCCGAGGTTTACCTGTGTCTGATGCGGACGATCAGGGCGAGGAGCGGCGCTCGGTGCGTTTCACCGTCAGTGGTCAGCTCACACTCATCTACAAGTGTCTATCCATTCACACCAGTGTGGTGTTGACAGGCTGCTGCACAGTGTGGAGGTAAGCAAAGGTGGACTGGTGTTTACTCAGCGGCCACGACAGGAGAGGTGGAGCCACTCTGCACAGGTAACCCCCCCACCTTCTTTCCCCCTCCTTAATCTTTGTATTGCTCACTTGATAAGGAATCAAAAGGACGAAAGGGCAGAGGGTGCGATGGACGTGAAGACGGGAGACGAATCTGGAACAGGCGGCCATGATTCTTTATTCTGACTAAAACACCAGATAAATGTCAAAACTTGACATTTATCTGGTTCACCTTCAGTTTGAGCCCGATAGTTGGAAATATCTTTCCTGCATAACTGTAACCACGATATGACGGGTCGCACTTCACAGAAGACAAGGTCAGGAGGGAAAACATGAAATGAAACGTTTCAAACCATTTCAAATACAGTCCCAACACATGCTTCAGCGTTGTATAAAATGAATGCAACTGCAAATTAAGTTAGAATGCTAGAGATCCTTAAAAATTATATTTAAAATTAAAAAAACAAGTCATTATATCAGTAAGGTTCAAACAAATCTTTTATTTTCTTTAACAAACAGGCTGAATTTGAGCAAAAAGTCAAAAACGAAGCCCAAAAAGGACACTTTGTACTTGTTTTTACTGTATAACAAGACATTAATAATTAGCTAAGACATTTTAAAGAAGGTGAGTGTTTCAGATTTATTGATGGCCCCTCCTCCACCGCCACACACCCAGTATTCTTCAGGTGCAGCTGTGGAGATTAAATGTGCCGTAAAGTTTGTATAAACCACGAGCTGTGAGTTTAATACAGAGAGCTACAGGTGGATGGAGATGAGGTGTCATGTTCACACTTCTGTTTCCCTGCTTTATTGTTTTCAATGTTTTTAAGCCAATTATTTCAACGTACTTTGTGCTTTTGTCTATATGGCTTTTGTTTTTTGTAACTTTGACATTTTTCTAAACACTTATTTTTCATTTACAAATATTAGAGATGGATAAGATCGAGATGGGGCACTACTGTGGAACAGTGGTTAGTGCAGTCACCTCATTTTGAGTACGTCACAGGTTCGCTTCCCAGTCTTTTTGTGTGGCGTTTGCATGTTCTCTCTATGCACACATTTTTTTCTAGATTCTCCAGTTTCCTCCCACAGACCAAAAACATGCATGTTCGGCTGACTGGTGACTCTAAATTGTCCCTCAGTGTGAGTGAGAGAGTGAATGGCTGTTTGTCTCGTTTGTCTCTATGTGTCCCTGTGATGGACTGGAGACCTGTCCAGGGTGTCCCCCACCACTCACACAGTGATGGCTGGATATACAATAGCAGCTAGACTTTTGCTGCATGTAGCTTTTAGCTACCAATTTGTTACATGATTTATCTTTAAGCTAGTCCTTTGCTACTTTTAGCATCTAGCTCGCCTTTTTATAGTTTTAGCTAGCCTTCTGTGGCTTTTAGCTTTCATTTGTCAACTTTTACCTTTTAGCAAGCCTTTTACTTTTTTAGCTTTTAGACAGCTTTTAGCCTTTATCTTATAGCTAGCCTTTTACAGTTTTAGCTACCCTTTTGTTATATTTAGCCTATTTTACCTTATGCAACTTTGAGCTTTTAGCAAGACATTTACTTTTTAGCCTTTAGCCAGTCTTTTGCTACTTTTTCGTTCCAGCTAGCCTTCCTTTTATAGTTTTAGCTGTTTTTCTGTTATTTATAGCTTACCTTTTGCTGCTTTTAGCTAGCCATTAGCTCTACTTATGTTTCAGCTAGTCTTTTTGCCTCTTTAGACGTTTCATTCAATTCAATTCAGTTTTACATAGCGCCAGTTCACAACAGAAGCTGTCTCAGGACACTGCACAGAAACATTCACATATATAAAATTTTAGCTAGTGCTCGTCTCCTTTTAGCTTTACCAACTCAGCTTCAACTGCCTGCAGCACATTTCAGCCGTCATTCAGCTCCCAGCTTTCAGACTGCATCTTCTCAGAAAGTGCAGGTTATAGTCAGGGTTAACATGTGGAGAAAAATAAAAGCTGAAAGTTGCTTTCATGACAAACCTGTTAAAAGTCCGAACATTTCACACCCGACTAAGACGGTCTCATTCCTGTCACATTTAGCAGGAACACAGAGAGGACAAGAAGGACGGACAATATGTGGAGGTGTCCAGAGCCTTAAACGGTCCCTAAAGACACCAGGAATCACACGGGGTCCCGTTCTGGCAGTGTGTGTGTACGAGTGTGTGTGTTATGGACCAGTAACTCATTAACCAACCTCTTTGTTAATGAAGGACATGCAATCACTGACTGTCACCTTTTTGTCAGCAGAATCTGTCATAAACTCTGCCGCTGTGGGTTTCCAGTTCAAAGTTTTCAAGTTGGGAAATAATTGTCTGACGTGGTCTGAAGAGCCAGAATCATAAACTTCTGTTCAAGCAGAGGCGTTCGATCATCAGCAAACACCAATCATCAACGCGACTTTAAGACTCCATCATGTTTAAATTACACTCGACTGCAGAAGTCAGGAGTTAATCTGCTCACAAAACAGACTTGAACATTTTTATAACCTTTTTTTTTGTTTTCCAGTCGAGTAGTTTATTGAAACGTCTGGAGGAAAAATTAAAGTTTGTCAGTTTTTTGCTCCGTGGCTTCCCTTATTCTGTTTATCACCGGTGTCGTGAGGAGAAATGTTATTTGAGCCAATGCAGTGGTAGTTATGTGGAAAAGATTGATTAAGACAATGCAAAGCAAACTAAACTGTCACATGATCAAAGTTACCGGGATATACATGAGTAGGTCTACATTTTTATTACCCTTTGGTATTAAACACTCACAAAAAGATTAAAAAATATACATTTTATCCTACACTTTGATTTTTATAATGTACATTTTTGAAGAGTTTTAGATGTTTGAGCATAAAATGCCACTTAATTGACATTGTGCAGATTATATCATGCAGGTTAGATAAGAAACTGTTTGGAGGCTGAAAATTTGGGTCAAGATTCTCAAAAACAAACCAAATATTTCATAATTGAATTCTCAGTCTGATCCAAAGCAAAGTTAAGGTGGTAATAAAAAAAATCTTAGCAAAGTAACCAGCTGCAAACGTGTTTAATTACTGCAAATTATCTTAAAGTAAAACTCAAAAATGTACCTGGATGGAAATGCAAACAGACAAAAAGTGCTCCTTCAGCCTCGGTGCGCTCCAGGGCTGAATGTCTGTTTGTCATAAAAGGAAACCGCGATCACAACAATCACATCTATACACATTCTCCAAAGTTGCTTTAGGTTCTGGCGACAAAGTTGGACTTAAAATGCTTTTACACTTTCATGCTTCCAATCCAAACACACGACGTGAACATTACGCGGAGCGGCAGAGCTCAGTGTCAACAGAGACAGAAGAACCGGCCCAGCAGGTCTCCATGAGACACTTGACTTAGGAAGCAAGAACGAACGGCTAGGAGCAACAAAGTTGCAGCCATTTTGGTCGAACCTGATGAATCTGTTCGATCTCATAGCGAGATCTTGTGTGACACATTGAGCACGTGTGTCAGCTACAGCCTCACCATATTTTAGCTCAGAATCAGTCAAATTATCTGCGTTACAGTCATTCATGTGTAGGCTAAGTTAGGTTAGCTGTGGCAGCCATCTTGAATTGGGTGTCCTCCAGAAGTTAATTAACTGCAGAGGCTCATCTTTGTTTTTTCATTTAATATTTATTTAAACAGGTTAGTCCCATGATTAGTCTAATGATTACTTTCCGAGAGATGCATTAAAATTCACCCACTGGTTGATCAAATATTTTGCTAACAGACAGGCAAAGGCACAAACAAGAGCCGGTGTTAAAGTTTCCTGTTTAGTGCTATAAGACTTTTTGAGACTGGGGCTGTTTTGAAGACGGATGAAATCCTCTGAAGTCCCCAGACAAGACTTTAGCTCCTTAATGGGACAGATGTGGCTGAGTGGTTACAGCAGTCGTCCTCCAATGCGAGAGTTGGGGGTTCGATTCCACCAGCAGTCACATGCTGAAGTGTCCCTGGTCAAGACACTGAACCCCTCACTGCCTCTGATGTGTGTCCCATCAGTGTATGAATGTGATAAAGCTCTGAGTATTCTTTGTATAGAAATAGTAGAGCGCTGTATGGATGGGTACACAAGGACACAAATTGTGTTGTAAAGAGCTTTGAGTGTCTTGATCAGATAGAAAGGTGATATATATATATATATATATATATATATATATATATATAAGTACAGTCCATTTACCATTTCATCTGATCAAAACGAACCCGTTTCACCAAATTGAGGCTGTTCAACAAGCTATGTACAACAGGTAAGATATTTGTTGTTCATAACCCTTCCTATTTGAAAGTGGGTCTTCCACAGAGCCCCACTTTCAAATATTTAAACTTCAACTTTAATTTTACTTTGCACTTTTACAATGACGTTTACATTTGTGTACTAAAACCTTCATGATGTTTTTCAGATCTGATGTTTCTTTTCACACACGTGATAAAACGTCGACTTTCAACAAAGTCCTCATCCAACATAATAACATCAGCAGGTGAGCAAACTTCAGCACAGTTAGCAGAGGCACTGAGTGAAACAATGTGACGGGAGGGGGTGGGGGGGCTGTATTGAATGTAAACTTCAGACTTTGTACTCTGGTTACTGGAAACATAAACAGAAAAGTCCCAAAGTGTGGCGTCTCAGCCCTGCAGGACACACGAGGCTGGCTGGAAGTCCAGAGGACAAAATGTCTTTCTGGAAACGTTCTCCCATCAGGAAGAAGATTTGATGAAACCTTTTATAATAAAGACATAAATACTAAACACTTAAATTGTAATTAAACTAGAGAAATTACCGTTCCTGCAGCGTGAGTGCTTAAGGCTGAATGATTTCTGCTGAAAAGGTTTCATCGCTGAACTCTCAGTGTGGGTTGACTTTAAACGGCTGACATCCACTGAAAGCAGGAAAATA